TAATATGTACTGCACCTATTGATTTTCTTGCCCTTGGTGTGTCCATAACGAGTCCTTGTTTTAATGTTTCCTGGCAATTCATTCACTCTGGCCAACATATATTGAAGGAATGGCTTGAAGGATGGAGATATTAGAAATCTTAGTTCTACAAAATTATATTCTGAATCAATATGAAAATAATTTTCAAGACACAAGACATCATAAGCATTTGCATGGTCTTACAAAGTATTGGCTCAAAACATACGATATGGTCCATGCTGCAATATTAGTATGAGCTTTAGAATACCAACACACTTTAAAACCTAAAAAAATAGATGAATTTTAGTCAAAACATAAGAACACATAGGATATAGACTTGAAGATTATTTTATCTGAATGAATGGTGATAGACTCAAGAACAAAAATCTTGGTAAGGTCAATGAACTAAGGAGGGTCACGCAGCCTGGAATATCAGAACAGACAAAAAAACAAGAAAGTAGCTCATACAACTGCATTTTCCCTTAACTGTTTTGGTATAAATTATATAAATGATGTATACATACACAAATTCTAAAAGAATTTAGAAAGGACACATGTTTCAAATTTAATGTAAATAAATTGGCCAAAAATTTCTGGATATAGAATACTAGTTTTATATCTATATCTGTACCTTTATTTATACAATACATCTGTCCATTGTTGGTTGCATAACAATGTAAATGTACATAATACTGCTAAAATTTGCATTTAAAAAGTTAAAATGTTTATTTCTTATATCCTGTATACAGACAAAATTAAAGTTTATAGAATAACAAATATATTGAAATTGATATCAATAAGCTTCCTCAAGTAGGGCTCAGATATTTTAGAAAAGTACAAAATGTCATCACTATATGATACACAATGTAGATATACAATGTGGAAATCACTAGTTAATTAATGCAGACTAGTTACTTGGAATCATTTGGAAAAAAAACTAAATGCATTAAAAATGTTGAACATTAATTACTGCATTAGATTCAGTTATTAAGAGTAATATTTTTTGTTCTAAATTGAATATCTCTGTTATTAAGGTTACTATGATCAGCAGTATTCTGATGCCATGCACTAGATAAAATACTACATTATTTTGCTTTTTAAAAAAATATTTTATAACTTATAAAGGCTTTCCGTTGCTCTTTAAACATTAAGTATAATTAAGCATTATAATTTATATAATAAGCTGATACAAGCTTATGATATAATAATATATCATTATATGATATAATAAATAATTCAATTTCTTATAAACATTAAATATAATAAAACAAGGCATGTTTTATAGATGCACTTACATTTGGATTTTTATGAATATTATTTATTTATAACTTAAGGCATATATATGAACATACCTATAGCAAACTATTTCTTGGTTAAGACAAAAAATTATCAAACAAATAACTTTAAAAAAGTACTCTTTCTTGATTTAGTTCATTCAATAAATTAATCTATATTAATGTCATGTATTTATATTTAGAAAAAAAATCTTGCCATATCTACTCAGAAATGTTAGGAAGGCTTATCAAAGTGAAAAATCAGTATAAACATCAATTTTATTTTCTCATGTCTAATAAACAAAATATAGAAATATTTATCTCTTCCTAAATATTTATGCACCAGAAGTTTTGATGAGACTCTTCCTTTAAGAATTGTTTTAAACTATTCTCTACACTCAAATGTGGAAAATTTTAGATAATATTGGCTTTTCATGCATTTTATTTAATAACAGCAAGAGGAATCATAAAAAGAAGCTATATGGCTGGAACAAATGGAGAGTATTTCTGAGAAATTGCAATTATCCTTGATTTTTGATTTATTCTTATCTACCACAAGGTGATAAATTTGACAAAAAGTCTTCTTAATGGTTTTTGTGCATGAAGAACTAGTTTTCATTCTCTTAATGAAGTGTCTCATCATCCACTCTTTTCCTGTCTAGTGGTCTGAGGCAATGCTACTACGAAGACTTCTGTCTCCAGTGAAAATCAATGCTTCAAAAATCTATTATGTACTTTATGCCAGAATTGTTTCACATTTAGTTCTATATAATAAGCATTATACAAAAATATAAACATGAAATTATAAAGTCGTAATGTGTATTCATATATTATGTTGTAGTGTAATACTTTCGAAAAGAATTAGAATTTATTTAAAGTTAATACTGCCCAAGTAGACTCAAAAGGAGAGCATTTGTCTTGACTCACATAACTGATATCTGTATGGTATTAATTTGACTATAGCTAGTATATTCTTAACACAAGTATTTAGTTTATCTCTGTATTTTTTTTTTTCTTATTTTCAGTTAGGTTTTAATTATATCCACATCACCTACAGTTTTTCTTAACAGCATGAAGTCATTCATCTTTCATTGGCCACCCTGCTTAGTATATAAACACAAACACCCTATAGAGTACATAATTGCAAACCCATGAGAGTATTCTAAAACTGACCCTCTTTCTTCACAAGTTGCTATATACTTTTTTTTTTTCTTTCTTTTGTCTCTCAGGAGTGCTCCTCAGAGACTGAAGTAATTCATATTTTCATTTCTTATCAGATTATCCATAAAAGTAAATTTGGAAATGATTTAAAACTCTTTTAAGAAAAAATAGCCCAGGGGCTGGAGTTGTAGCTCAGTGGTAGAGTACTCACCTAGTACATGTGAGGCACTGGATTTGAGCCTTATCACCACATTAAAAAAATTTTAATTAATATAGGTATTTTGTCCACCTACAACTAAGAAAATCACATATATATGTATATATGAAGAAAAACTAATGACCCAATCTAATGAAAGGATACATTTTAGATGATGTCCCTTCATCAATCCTTTATATATTCTGCCCATTTTCCAAAACACTGTAATTTCTTGGAAAGTTTGTGTCAACATAAACTTCATTGAACAACATCCTCAACTTTTTTCTTCTTCAATTTTCCCTGTTCTTCTAAAATAAATAATTTTCCCACAGTTAACAATAATCAAAAATCTTGTTTAATAATGATATTGACATATATCTTCCTACATTCACTCCCATATTTACTGTAAAATACCTTCTAAAGGTTACTTCCCCATCACACACTCACTGGTAGCATTTCATGGTCTGACATTTAATCTACAATACTCTGTCTAAACCAGAGGAGGTTTAGACCTTCTGGATTCTCTTCCCCTTATAATTGCTTCTTGTTTTAGTTAGTCTTTTATCTCTGTACCCCAAATACTCAACAAGAACACCTTAAAGAAAGGAAAATTTATTTGAGGTTCACAGTTTCAGAGGTCTCAGTCCATAGATGGCCAATTCCATTGCTCTGGGCCCTAGGTGAGGCAGCATATCATGGGGGAAGGGTATGGTAAAAGAATCCTGCTCTTCTCCTTGCACTAAGGAGGCAGGAGGTGGGGAAAGGAAGATGTACCCTTGCAGGGCACATTCCCAGTCATTTGTCTCCTCCAGCCATGCCCAACCAGCTTACAGTTACCACCTAGTCCTTTCAAACTAAGATGAACTTAGTAGGTTTCAGATCTCCCAATCCAATTACTGTACCTCTGGACATTACTTCATTAACAGAGGAGTTTTGTAGCAATACCTCATATCCAAACTACAACACTTCTCAAAGGAATCCTTAAAGGAAAGATGTGTTCTCTTTACTCTCAACTCTTTTTTTTATCTAGGCAAAGAAGAAATCCACTATCTTACTCTCAGCTTCAAAACTTCTGTTTCCCCATTGACCTCATCACAAGGGAAAGAAGTGGGCATTTACAGGAAGTTCTGTAGGTCCTGCATTTGTTTCCAACTTAGTAGAAAAACAATATGCTTTGTTTCTAGGCAACATTAGTAGATGGCTAATTATTAATAAATTATCTCATTGGCATACCAGATTTTAGCACATACCTCTCTTAGGAAGTATATTTGGATTATATCAATAAATTGTATACAAATATATATACATAGACATAATGTGTCTTAAAATTTATAAATTTAATATTTTTCATCAACAGTAATTGATCTGCACATTTTAAAGATAGTTTATTTTAGTATATGTTGACAATCCCCATTATCTTCAGCTAACATAATTAATGGTGCCCAATTTATTTTGCAACATATTTAATTGCACTATATAAGAGGGGATAGAATGGCTATCACCTGGAGTTTCTGCTTTAACTATGATTTGACATGGAATACCTTCTTCATTCACTGGTTAGAGTGGACGAATCTCCATAACAACGTATTTAGAGTTCAAAAACAGACTGCTTAGAAGAAGAGAGATCTCATGTCATATATAAGGGAAAATAGGGGCTGAGGGTTTCCTCAGTGGTAGACCACTTGCCTAGCATGCATGAGATCTTGGGTTTAATCCCCTGCACCACAAAAAAAGGGGGAGGGATATAAGATCTTTCATGTGCATATGTTCCTGCCCTTTCTACATTATCCATATTATATTTGGCCTTTAAATCTGCAATTTAGGTTAGTTTTTTTGTTTTTTTTTTGTTTGTTTGTTTGTTTGTTTTTTTAGAAGTGTGATGGCTTTGAAGACACAGACTACAGAATCAATGGTCTTCATGTCTGTCACGCTCTCCTTTGCTTTATTACAAACCTGTCTCTCTTGGCTTTAGCCAGCCACTTATGACACTTATACAGATAGCAAAGATGATATAGGATTTCTCCATGCACTGATAAGCCTAAAAATGGAATATAATTTAATTCAGCCAAGAAACATGAAATGAAAAGTTATTTAGCCAGATGAATTAAAAAATAGACTTTTGAAAATTTAAAATAAGACAACCAGAGAAGTTGTAAGTATATGTGAAAATGTTTAGATTTACACAAGTCACTATCTATAGCAGATAGGTGAGATGCTGTTTTCTTTGCTCAGTATGAAGCTCACAGAATCTTTTTTGCTCTATTAGAATAGGTGATTTCCATGCCAAGAATTAATTAAAATTTAAATATTTGAAGGAGTGGTGATTATGTTTTCTCTAATAAAAAATTTACCTGTCTTGGGATCAATAGAGAAATAAGGTTGTCCCTGAAGAATGCTGTAAACAACTCTGGCACTGTTTCCATAGGTCGGGTCATCTGCATCTGTGGCCTTGACCTGGAGCACATATGCACCTGGAAAATAAGACAGTGTGACTCTAGCTTTCTTCCTGTACAGAGTTGAAAGCCATTTCTATAATTTGCTGCACTCTATTTTCCTTTGGATTTTGGCATTTCTCATGGATGTCATGAGATATTATGCCACTGAAGAAAATTTAACTGTTACCATCAAAACATCATACAATGACACATCAGAACCACAGTGAGATATCACATCACCCTATTACAAATGGCTAGTGTCAAAAAGACTTAGAGGCTAACAAGAGCTGGTGAAGATGGGGAAAAAACAGAACTCTTGCTCAATGCTTGATAGAATGCACATTAGTACATCCATTTGAGAAATTAGTGTGAAAGTTCCTCAAACATTTTATAACAAAACTACTTTTTGAACCAGTGGTTCCAAGAGAAATATATCTAAGGAAAATGAAATCAGAATGTGGAAGGCCATCTGCATTCCTCTGCTCAATGTGGCACTATTCACAATAGCCAAGAAATGGAAACGACCGAAGTGTTGCTCAACTGATGAGGAGATTAAAAAAAAAAGTGTTACAAAGAGGATAATAATATGCCCTAGAAATTAAACCCTGTCCCTTGTGGCAGCATGGACGGAACTATAGATCATTATGTTAAATGAAATAAGCCAGGCACAGAAAGACATGTATTCCACCTATGTATGGAATCTAAGCATTTGATCTTATACAGGTGGAGAGTGATATGGTGGTTCACAAAGGCTGGGGAAGTCAAGAGTGGTGGATAATAGGGGAAATGTTAATGAATATTCTGAGTAACAAGAGGAGGAGCAAGAAGCTCTGGTGTGGTACTGCATCTAGGGTACTATAGATAACAATAACATATCCATCTAAAAGCAACCAAAAAAAGTATTTTTAAGGTTTTCATCATAAATAAATGATAAATATTTGAGGAGATTCATTAATTTGATTTAAAATTTCACAATTTTTACATGTATCAAAGGATAACACAACATTTCATTAATATATATATATATATATATATATATATATATATATTTGCTATATTTTCACATATCAGTTAAAATAAATTTAAAAATGTGGAATCATAGAGCTGTTACTTCAAATAGCACATATTTTAGACATCTATTTTAAAAGTTAAGTCCATTTCCAGTAGATAGATCATTGAACTGAAAGTTGTCAAGATAGTATTATTTTCCCTTCTCTCTCCCTTAAGAACTATGTAATGTTTTGAACAGCCAACAATAAAAAAAAAAAAAAAAAAAAAAAGATAGTATTATTGATTTCTACACTAAAGAAAACATGGACACCACTTACATTAGCTCATCTGCTTACTGTGGATGCTTTAATTTCATGATTAGAATATCAATAGCTAAGCTAAAAGGTTTAGAGGCTTACTGAACTTTAGAGGTTAAGTGATTTGCAATTTCAGGTTACAAATCAGCAACTGCATACTCGTATTAGGAAGCCATTAATTAGAAAAGAATACTTGAAAAATTGAAAACCATATTTAATTGCAGTGTCAAATAGCTACAGAGCACCTCTTGGTCTCAAGACTAAATTAAACTGAGGGTTCATTGGCATTGAAAAACACTGAAGACAGTCCAAATTATCTGTAGCTTTTCTCCTTTTTTTTTTTTTAATTGAGAATATTATTTAAGTACTAAAAGGAAGTTGGAGAGAATTTTTTCTGTATTTTTCTCTTATCTACTTAAGCACATTCATAAATCAGTCTTCAAGAACTTTTTAAGTACCGCTTCCCAATGTCTTCTTCGACATTGTTATTCTTAAATGAGTAAAAACAAAAATCAAAGATATCATACATAACTTGTAAAAAATTATATTTTGCTTTTAATTAGAAATATCTGCTAAGCATACACACACACACACATATATATGTATATGCTGAGCAGGGATGAGATATATATATATATATATAGTGTGTGTGTGTGTGTGCATCCTAAGTTTTACCGTGCACTCTATCCCTTGGAGGCATTCAGAGTAGTTGCTGTGTTTGGGGAAAGCACAGTTGGCCCTTTCCATTCAGTTATTTATTTAGCCTTTTCTCTCAAGTTGGTACCAATTTGAACTTTGAATAAACTAAGTCTTATAAAGTCTAAAGAAATGAATCCACTCTTCACTATTACTTTTTAAAAAAGTAAAGTATTAGAGATTAGAGTAAGAAATGCTAACTTTCCCTGGGCGCAGTGGAGTGTACTTCAAATCCCAGCTCAGTAAGAAGCTGAGGCAGGAGGATTCCAAGTTCAAGACCAGTCTCTGCCTCTTAGCAAGACTTTGTTTCAAAATACAAAATAGAATAGCTGAGGGTATTGTAACACAAAACAATAAATCAATAATAAAGAAATAAATAAAAATTATAAATTAAATGACAACTTTTTGTAGATATTCAATATCAAATGCTTTTGCTTAATATGCTTTGGTATATTCTATCAACAAATGAAAAACATGTTATAGCAGCCTTTCCCAGGACAAGAAACTTCTAGAAGGAAAGGAGGAAAATACTACTAAGTAGTTAAGAGTGATGAGTAGTATTTTCCATCACCAGCACCAACATTTCCATGCCATCAATAGTTGCATTAATCATACAACTAATCATAATGAAACCATGATTAGACACACACACACACACACACACACGAAATTTCATTATGATTAATGTTTGCTTCTGTGAATCATTATGTTCCTGTCTTAAGGAGTCATCAAAACTGGACTTTGCTCAATGATGTAGATATGAACATTTTATCAAGAATAAATTTTCCTCTGCTCAACAGTTGTTTTTACCCTCAGATTCATTACCTATATTTTTCTTATTTCTTTACCATACATGTGTTTTATAGAAAAGCCTATCAATTTTAAATATTACCCCAATTCTAAATATGAAATTGCAGTTTGTGAGGTGTGAATTGTTCTACTGTATAGGTACATTTGAACTTAAAACATTGTTGAATAAGTAGCAAATAAAAATATTTAACAAAATAGATATGTGTAGTAACAAATTTAATAAAAGTTTGCCAAACCTATACCACATGCAATATCAAAAGGAATACAAATATAATCTTGTCTTCCTTTTTATGTGTCTGTTTTTAATGTTAATATGAACTCCCAGTAAACATGTTGAAGAAAATTTTTTCTTGAAATCTAATATTAAAATCGAGAGTGAATCATTTATAAAGTTTGTCATGTAAAAGAGTTGGAGTACTTCATTAATACATAGAAGTAGCAGAGATTTTTCATTCAATCCTATTAGTCACATGATAGCAAGAATACATGTTTCTCTACTTCAAGCACATTATTAAAAAGAGCTGTCTGTTCAATTTCAGGATAGGTGAGTCCTGGCTTGCTATGTCAACTCTCCCATGCCTTTCTCTATAGTAACACAAAAACCAAAAATTTCATGTTGTTTCATGTTTCATGTTGTTAAGAATTCTCAGTTAGAGGGCTGGGGCTGTAGCTCAGTAGCAGAGTGCTTGCCTAGAGTGTGTGAGGCACTGAGTTCGATCACCAGCACCCCCTTCCCCCAAAAAATACAATAAGGGCATACTGTTCATCTAAAACTATAAAAAAAAATTAAAAAGTATTCTCAGTTAAATTTAAGGAATATTTATGCTTCTAAGCAAGACTACCTTCTTCAGTGCTAAACTCGCACACCAGTTGTTCTTAACACTATTAAATCCTAAATGCCCAGGAAGTAGAAAAAGGTTGTGGATTTGAGGAGAAGCCATTTAGTGTACAATAGGGAAATAATATACTAATCAATAATTTTCACTGAAAATGGAGGGGTCTTCCATGTTGACAACAGCCTGAAATTTATTTCCTATGCCTCAAATTCAAGTACAACAATATAAAATTCTAACTGCAGTGCAGAGAGAATGTAGTTCACAGAGAAAAAAATTACTTTATAAATGGTTGCAGATAGTGTGCAGAATGTTTGAGGCAGAGTATCAAATCACTTCAAGTTCACTTTACACTGCCCTAATCAGTACAAATTTAATAGTGTATTTTTAGTAATAGTTAAAGCCAACCCTAACATATACATATAAAACTAAGAGCAACAGAAAAATTGAACGTGGAGTTGTATTATATAATAATGAAGAAAGAAAATGCATCGGGGGAACCCAATTGAGAGAAACTGAACTAAGTAAGTGTTCCCTAACATCTAAATGATCATGATTTAGAATTCATTTGAGATCCAATTTGGATGTGGCATTAATAAGACTATGATAAACTACAACAACAACAAAATACTAAAGGCTCGGGTGACTTAAACAACAGAAAGCAATGTTCTCACAGTTCTGGAGGGAAAAAGTCCAAGACCAAACTGTGGAATTTTTTTTTTTCTGGTAAGACTTTCTTCTTCCCTTCCAGATGGCCACTTTCTCACTCTGTCCACATGGTCTTTCCTTTGTGCTCATGTGAACTGGGAGAGCTCTGCCATCTCTTCATCTTCATATAAGGAGACCATATCTATCAGTTTTAGGGCCCCAACCTTATGACTTCATTTATGCTTAAGAACTCTTGAAATGCTGTGTCTTGAAATACACATGAATAGTTTGGTATTGGACATATTAATTTAGGGGTGGATTACAATTCAGAATAAAGGTGAGGAATGTTTTCTATAGCAATCAGGAAAAAATATTTGAGAAAGATAATTTATATAGACAAATGAATAAAATGAGGTAAAGTTTTTGTACTTCATTTCTTTTTTTTTAGAAAGGAGAGAGAGAGAGAGAGAGAGAGAGAGAGAGAGAGAGAGAGAATCGAATCTTTTTTGTAGATGGACACAACAAAATGCCTTTATTATTATGTGGTGCTGAGAATCGAAAATGGGTCCCGCCCATGCTAGGCGAGAGCTCTACCGCTAAACCGCAGTCCCAGCCCTAGATCATTTCTTTAACAAATAAAATTCTATATACTTATTGTATACAGCATGATGTTTAAAATATTTGCGTACACTATGGAGTAGCTAAATTGAGTTACTTTTTATATGCATTACTTGTCATACTT